TTGTATTCACCTAGTTGTATTCACCTAGTTGTATTCACCTAGTTGTATTAGCCTAGTTGTATTCACCTAGTTGTATTCACCTAGTTGTATTTACCTATTTGTATTCGCCTAGTTGTATTCACCTAGTTGTATTCACCTAGTTGTATTCACCTAGTTGTATTCACCTAGTTGTATTCACCAAGTTGTATTCACCTAGTTGTATTCACCTAGTTGTATTTACCTAGTTGTATTCACCTAGTTGTATTCACCAAGTTGTATTCACCTAGTTGTATTCACCTAGATGTATTCACCTAGATGTATTCACCTAGTTGTATTTACCTAGTTGTATTCACCTAGTTGTATTCACCTAGTTGTATTCACCAAGTTGTATTCACCTAGATGTATTCACCTAGTTGTATTCACCTTGTTGTATTCACCTAGTTGTATTCACCAAGTTGTATTTACCGATATGTATTCACCTAGTTGTATTCACCTAGTTGTATTTACCTAGTTGTATTCACCTAGTTGTATTCACCTAGTTGTGCTTACAGGGGTTAAGCTCTGCTCTTTCGGCCCGCCTCTCAACTGTCAATCACTGTTACTAACTACTATTTTTTTTTTCATACACACTTCCAGGAAGCAGCCCGTAGGAGCTGTCTAACTAATTAGTTTTTTCCGCCGGCTGCGGGAATCGAACCCCGGTACTTAGGTCCATGAGTCTAGAGCGCTGTCCACTCAGCCAGCCAGCCCCTAGTGTGTGTGTGTGTGTGTGTGTGTGTGTGTGTGTGTGTGTGTGTGTGTGTGTGTGTGTGTGTGTGTGTGTGTGTGTGTGTGTGTGTGTCATTCACACACACACGTGGAAAGCCTACAGGCATTAAACCTCACGTCACTAGGAGAAGAAATAGAGGAGACATACTTACCACATACAAAATACTGGGGAGGATAGACAGGACAAACAAGACCAGAACAAGGAGACACAGGTAAGCAGAGTATCCAAATGACCCACAGAGACATTAGAAAAAATATTGATGTAGTGGAAGCAGACCACATAGTTTTAAATTGTGATATTAGAGCCCAATAGGCTGTGGAAATTCTACACCAGTCGAGTAAGTGTTCTCAGGCGGGACCCAAGAGCCGTGGCTCATATTACACAAATGTATCTAGGTGAGTACCCACACACACACTGAAGCTATTGGGCAGTACTTTGTGTCTGCCACAAGTAGTTCAAGATATACTCGTCCCAAGCCTAAACAATTATAGATAAACGATTTCCGTCCAGCGAATTGAAACACTTTTGTGTAATAGGAGTCTTAAAACGCCCCGAGCAACTTACCCGAAGACAAAGGCGGCAATACCATATATGCGGTGGTTACTAGTTGGACAATTTATTTTTCAAGTGTGCTGCCCGGTAAGTCCAATACGGGCTCACCATAGCCCGTGCTACTTGCCCCGCTCCTGTGCCAGGTAAGTCCAATACGGGCTCATCATAGCCCGTGCTACTTGGCCCGCTCCTGTGCCAGGTAAGTCCAATACGGGCTCACCATAGCCCGTGCTACTTGCCCCGCTCCTGTGCCAGGTAAGTCCAATACGGGCTCACCATAGCCCGTGCTACTTGCCCCGCTCCTGTGCCAGGTAAGTCCAATACGGGCTCACCATAGCCTTGCTACTTGCCCCGCTCCTGTGCCAGGTAAGTCCAATACGGGCTCACCATAGCCCGTGCTACTTGCCCCGCTCCTGTGCCAGGTAAGTCCACTACGGGCTCACCATAGCCCGTGCTACTTGCCCCGCTCCTGTGCCAGGTAAGTCCAATACGGGCTCACCATAGCCCGTGCTACTTGCCCCGCTCCTGTGCCAGGTAAGTCCAATACGGGCTCACCATAGCCCGTGCTACTTGCCCCGCTCCTGTGCCAGGTAAGTCCAATACGGACTCACCATAGCCTGTGCTACTTGCCCCGCTCCTGTGCCAGGTAAGATAACCACGGGCTCATCATAGCCCGTGCTACTTGCCCCGCTCCTGTGCCAGGTAAGTCCACTACGGGCTCACCATAGCCCGTGCTACTTGCCACGCTCCTGTGCCAGGTAAGTCAACTACGGGCTCACCATAGCCCGTGCTACTTGCCCCGCTCCTGTGTCAGGTAAGTCCACTACGGGCTTACCATAGCCCGTGCTACCTGCCCCGCTCCTGTGCCAGGTAAGTCCACTACGGGCTCACCATAGCCCGTGCTACTTGCCCCGCTCCTGTGCCAGGTAAGTCCACTACGGGCTCACCATAGCCCGTGCTACTTGCCACGCTCCTGTGCCAGGTAAGTCAACTACGGGCTCACCATAGCCCGTGCTACTTGCCCCGCTCCTGTGCCAGGTAAGTCCACTACGGCTCACCATAGCCCGTGCTACTGGCCCCGCTCCTGTGCCAGGTAAATCCACTACGGGCTCACCATAGCCGCTACTTGCCCCGCTTCTATGCCAGGTAAGTCCAATACGGGCTCCCCATAGCCTGTGCTACTTGCCCGCTCCTGTGCCAGGTAAGTCCACTACGGGCTTACCATAGCCCGTGCTACTTGCCCCGCTCCTGTGCCAGGTAAGTCCAATACGGGCTCACCATAGCCCGTGCTACTTGGAACTCTTTGTTCCTAGTAGCTGAATCTTAAACATCAACAACCTTGAACCAAAACACTGCTGGATAGATGGATAGATGGATAGATGGATAAATATGTGGATGTCGCCCCTCTCGTGTACCAATAGAGCTTATATGTGGCACTACACCTCGCGTATGAGGAAGAGGAAGCATAGAGGAGTGAGGAGGAGATGCCTTTCAAATAGCAATATCCTGCTTTCATTTAGGTGTCGGGCTTAAGGCGTATCAACCGCGCGCGGGGTATTAAGGTTGTATAAAAAAGTATACTTTAGGTGTTTATATACGTTAGTATGTCCTGGCTTAAAGTGTGGTTGTGTGGAGACGGAGACGCAGCATCCACTCCCCCTTTAAGATAGATCCTGTGAGGCTGGTATGATGCTCATGTTGGTGTACCAGTCTCCCATCCTTCACCACCATCACTGGTGTTATTTCCTGAGGTAGCCTGCTTCCCTGAGGAAAGGTGATGGCTCTCTCTCTCTCTCTCTCTCTCTCTCCTAGCATCTCTCTCTCTCTATCTCTGTCTCTCTCTGTCTCTCTCTCAAGATCTCTCTCGCTCTCTGCTCTCTCATGTATCTCTGTCCCGTCTCTCCTCTCTCCACGTACTCAGTCTCTCTCCCGGTCTCTCTCTCAATCCCTATCCTCTCGCCTCTCTGTCTCTCTCTCTCCTGAGCTCGCTCTGCTCTCTATACATCATCAGTGATGGCTCCTCATCTCTCTCTCTTCTCTCTCTCTCTCTCTACTCTCTCTCTCTCTCTCTCTCTCTCTCTCTCTCTCTCTCTCTCTCTCCCCTCTCTCTCTCCTCTCTTCTCTCCTCTCTATCTCTCCTCTCTCTCTATCTAGTCGGATCTCTCGCATGTCTCTCTCCTCTGTCTCTCTCTCTCGACCTCTCTCTCCCTCCTCCCTCCCTCTCCGCCCTCTCTCTCTCCTCTCTCTCTCCTCTCTCTCGACTCATCACTCACACTCACACACACACACCCGCAAGGCCCCCAGGTGTGTGAGTGGATAGCATTTGTGAGTCGTAGTTTTTATGGCCCGGGTTCGATTCCCGGAGGCGGAAACAAATGAGCAGAGTTCCTTTCACCCTGATGCTTTTGTTCACCTAGCAGTAAATAGGTACCTAGGAGATAGACAGCTGCTACGGGCTGCTTCCTGGGGATGTTTGTGTGCGCGCGCGCGTTAGAAATATATGTAGTAGATATAAAAGAAGAAAAAGAGATTGGTTAGAAAGGCGGAGTCCAAGAGCTAAGAGCTCGATTCTGCAGACACAAATAGTAAATACACATCCTGGTGTCACGTGTCATGGTTGTCAAGGCTGCTGGTGTCACGTATCATGGTTGTCAAGGCTCCTGGTGTCACGTATCATGGTTGTCAAGGCTCCTGGTGTCACGTATCAGGGTTGTCAAGGCTCCTGGTGTCGCGTATCAGGGTTGTCAAGGCTCCTGGTGTCACGTATCAGGGTTGTCAAGGCTCCTGATGTCACGTATCAGGGTTGTCAAGGCTGCTGGTGTCATGTGCCATGGTTGTCAAGGCTCCTGGTGTCACGTGACATGGTTGTCAAGGCTCCTGATGTCACGTATCAGGGTTGTCAAGGCTGCTGGTGTCATGTGTCATGGTTGTCAAGGCCTGTGTTGGTGTCACTGTGCATGGTTGTCAAGGCTCCTGATGTCACGTATCAGGGTTGTCAAGGCTGCTGGTGTCATGTGTCATGGTTGTCAAGGCTCCTGGTGTCACGTGTCATGGTTGTCAAGGGTCCTGGTGTCACGTATCAGGGTTGTCAAGGCTGCTGTTGTCATGTGTCATGGTTGTCAAGGCTCCTGGTGTCACGTATCAGGGTTGTCAAGGCTCCTGGTGTCACGTATCATGGTTGTCAAGGCTCCTGGTGTCACGTATCATGGTTGTCAAGGCTCCTGGTGTCACGTATCATGGTTGTCAAGGCTCCTGGTGTCACGTGTCAGGGTTGTCAAGGCTGCTCGTGTCACGTATCATGGTTGTCAAGGCTCCTGGTGTCACGTGTCAGGGTTGTCAAGGCTGCTGGTGTCACGTATCATGGTTGTCAAGGCTCTTGGTGTCACGTGTCAGGGTTGTCAAGGCTACTGGTGTCACGTGTCATGGGTGTCAAGGCTCCTGGTGTCACGTATTATGGTTGGCAAGGCTCCTGGTGTCACGTATCATGGTGGTCAAGGCTGCTGGTGTCACGTGTCATGGTTGTCAAGGCTGCTGGTGTCACGTGTCATGGTTGTCAAGGCTCCTGGTGTCAGCCCAAGGGGACACAGACCCTCACCACCTCACGGGGGGGGGGTGGAGGGGGAACTAAACAGCCTCGTGGCACTGTACAGTGCCACGAGTCAAAGCCCTGACGGACTCTTAACAGCATTGTTAATAACTACTACTGGTGTTGGAGCTCCATGTTCCTGGCGTAGGTGATCTCAGCGCTTGGTGTGGACACCCCCCAGGCGGCGGGGTGGCACTGGGCGCCGTCTAGGTGGCACTGGGCGCCGTCTAGGTGGCACTGGGTGCCGTTCAGGTGGTACTGGGCGCCGTCTAGGTGGCACTGGGCGCCGTCTAGGTGGCACTGGGTGCCGTCTAGGTGGTACTGGGCGCCGTTCAGGTGGTACTGGGCGCCGTCTAGGTGGCACTGGGCGCCGTCTAGGTGGCACTGGGCGCCGTCTAGGTGGCACTGGGCGCCGTCTAGGTGGCACTGGGCGCCGTCTAGGTGGCACTGGGCGCCGTCTAGGTGGCACTGGGCGCCGTCTAGGTGGCACTGGGCGCCGTCTAGGGGGCACTGGGCGCCGTCTAGGTGGCACTGGGCGCCGTCTAGGTGGCACTGGGCGTCTCCAACTCTCGGCAAAACTTCATAAAATAGAATTAGTCGTGAGGTAATCCGGTAGAGGCGGTGGTGCAGAGCTTAGTGCCTCAAGGCGCTCCCCTCTCTCCTTCTCCCTCCCTCCCTCCCTCCCTACCATCTTATCTTCCACCTTACTTCCTCCTTCTTTCTTTAACTCCCTCACTCCCTTCCTCCTGTTACTGGTGGTGTGGTTGGCTCAAATACTGATGGACACACACACACACACACACACACACACACACACACACACACACACACACACACACACACTAGAGAAAGGAAAGGAGAGAGGAGATATGATAGGGACATATAAAATACTCAGGGGAATTGACAAAGTGGAAATAGATGAAATGTTCACACGTAATAATAACAGAACGAGGGGACATGGGTGGAAACTGGAAACTCAGATGAGTCACAGGGATGTTAGGAAGTTTTCTTTTAGCGTGAGAGTAGTGGGAAAATGGAATGCACTCAAGGAACAGGTTGTGGAAGCAAACTCTATTCATACTTTTAAAATTAGGTATGATAGGGAAATGGGACAGGAGTCACTGCTGTAAACAACCGATGGCTGGAAAGGCGGGATCCAAGAGCCAATGCTCGATCCTGCAAGCACAAATAGGTGAGTACACACACACACACACACACACACACACACACACACACACACACACACACACACACACACACACACACACACATACACACACACACACACACACACACCTGTGTATACCTCATACAAATCTCTCATTTTTGCAAGTCTCCTCATCGAGTTTTTCTTTCATTTCATATAAATCCTAGTGATGGTCCCCGGCGGCGCCCGGGTCTCTCTCCCCCCACCCCCTTTCTCTCCCAGTGTCTCCCCTCTCATCTCTCAAAATATAATGCATATATATTTTTTGAGAGATGAGATCTTATATAAAATTTCATCTGTTACCCTCGGTATTTTGGACATGGTGATCATGTCTCCTCTGACCCTTATTCTAAGATGATTTATCCAAGACTAGATATACTGTTAGCGGGTTTACATCTTAGACCCTGCCTATATGTACAGTGGGATCACAATAGCCTGATATATCTAACGGAAAATATTTGGAGAAATGCGGTGGGATCGAACCCGCGTTCAAAGTTATCCTGAGCGGGGGTCGATTCCAGAGTGTGTTTATTTAAACCTCAAGCGATAGTGCTGATGTGTGTGTGGTGTGTGTGTGTGTGTGTGTGTGTGGTGTGGTGTGTGTGTGTTGTGTGTGTGTGTGTGTGTGTTGTTTGTGTGTGTGTGTGTGTGTTTGGGTGTGGTGTGTGTGTGTGTCAGAGAGGTTAGAGCGAGATAGTAATAGAGCATCGTAAGAAACAGGCGCAAATCAAGAGAGAGAGACCGAAGAGAGAGAGAGAGAGAGAGATCTAGAGAGAGAGAGAGAGAGAGAGAGGAGAGAGACGAGAGAGAGAGAGGAGAGAGAGGAGGGAGAGAGAGAGAGAGAGAGAGAGTGTTGAGAGAGAGCAAGAGAGATGGAGCGCTGTAGAGAGCAGACAAGAGCTCAGTGTAATGGAATGAGTATAGCATGTTCACTGATCCCTCCTGTTACCCCGCCTCTCTACTCCCACTCCTGTCCACCACCCACACACACACACACACACACACACACACACACACACACACACACACACACACACACACACACACACACACACACACACACACACACACACACACACACACACACACACACACACACACACACACACCGAGAAATAGGCTTGTATGTCAGGATAATTAAGCCAGGTAATCACCCCTTCTGCTGATATCCAGTTTATACCTCTACTTAACCCCCCCCCTCTTCCCAACCCATCACTTATATAAGGGGTATTACCAATACCTAATGACCATACTAATTACTAAAGGGTTAGTGGCTGTGTGGGGGGGGGGTTCACTTACATGTTCTTGCTGGGTCGGGCGCTAGCTCCCCAGACCCCGTCCGTCCAGCAGATGGACTGATGGCGGCCATCTTCTCTATGAGTGTTTGGCTGTTTTATTTTGTTGATGTTTGTATCTTGTTTGTAAGAGGGAGATTGGTGAGGCTGGGTTGGTTTGGTCGTGTAGTTTGGTGTTGTGCTTGTGGGGGTTGAGCTCTGGCTCTTTGGTCCCGCCTCTCAACTGTCAGTCAACTGGTGTACAGGTTCCTGAGCCTACTGAGCTCTATCATATCTACATTTGAAACTGTGTATGGAGTCAGCCTCCACCACATCACTGCCTAATGTATTCCATTTGTCAAGTAATGTGTGTGTGTGTGTGTGTGTGTGTGTGTGTGTGTGTGTGTGTGTGTGTGTGTGTGTGTGTGTGTGTGTGTGTGTGTGCGTGCGTGTGCGTGCGTGCGTGTGCGTGCACGCTCGGCCGGGATTGATTTCAACTGGAAAAGTCGGTCTCACTGCAACAAGACTGTGACACGAGAGACCACCAGACGCCACCACCACCACCACCAGTCACCAGTATCACCATCACCAGTCACCAGTATCACCACCACCAGTCACCAGTATCACCACCACCAGTCACCAGTATCACCACCACCAGTCACCAGTATCACCACCACCAGTCACCAGTATCACCACACCAGTCACCAGTATCACCACCACCAGTCTCCAGTATCACCACCACCAGTCACCAGTATCACCACCACCAGTCACCAGTATCACCACCACCAGTCACCAGTATCACCACCACCAGTCACCAGTATCACCACCACCAGTCACCAGTATCACCACCACCATCACCAGTATCACCACCACCAGTCACCAGTATCACCACCACCAGTCAACAGTATCACCACCACCAGTCACCAGTATCACCACCACCAGTCACCAGTATCACCACCACCAGTCACCAGTATCACCACCACCAGTCACCAGTATCACCACCACCAGTCACCAGTATCACCACCACCAGTCACCAGTATCACCACCACCAGTCACCAGTATCACCACCACCAGTCACCAGTATCACCACCACCAGTCACCAGTATCACCACCACCAGTCACCAGTCACCACACCAGTCACCAGTATCACCACCACCAGTCACCAGTATCACCACCACCAGTCACCAGTATCACCACCACCAGTCACCAGTATCACCACCACCACCAGTCACCAGTATCACCACCACCACCAGTCACCAGTATCACCACCACCAGTCACCAGTATCACCACCACCAGTCACCAGTATCACCACCACCAGTCACCAGTATCACCACCACCAGTCACCAGTATCACCACCACCAGTCACCAGTATCACCACCACCAGTCACCACCACACCACCAGTCACCAGTATCACCACCACCCAGTCACCAGTATCACCACCACCAGTCACCAGTATCACCACCACCAGTCACCAGTATCACCACCACCAGTCACCAGTATCACCACCACCAGTCACCAGTATCACCACCCAGTCACAGTATCACCCACCAGTATCACCACCACCAGTCACCAGTATCACCACCACCAGTCACCAGTATCACCACCACCAGTCACCAGTATCACCACCACCAGTCACCAGTAATCACCACCACCACCAGTATCACCCACCACCAGTCACCATATCACCACCACCAGTCACCAGTATCACCCCCACCACCCAGTATCACCACCACCAGTCACCAGTCACCACCACCACCAGTCACCAGTATCACCACCACCAGTCACCAGTATCACCACCACCAGTCACCAGTATCACCACCACCAGTCACCAGTATCACACCACCACCAGTATCACCACCACCAGTCACCAGTATCACCACCACCAGTCACCAGTATCACCACCACCAGTCACCAGTATCACCACCACCAGTCACCAGTATCACCACCACCAGTCACCAGTATCACCACCACCAGTCACCAGTATCACCACCACCAGTCACCAGTATCACCACCACCAGTCACCAGTATCACCACCACCAGTCACCAGTATCACCACCACCAGTCACCAGTATCACCACCACCAGTCACCAGTATCACCACCACCAGTCACCAGTATCACCACCACCAGTCACCAGTATCACCACCACCAGTCACCAGTATCACCACCACCAGTCACCAGTATCACCACCACCAGTCACCAGTATCACCACCACCAGTCACCAGTATCACCACCACCAGTCACCAGTATCACCACCACCAGTCACCAGTATCACCACCACCAGTCACCAGTATCACCACCACCAGTCACCAGTATCACCACCACCAGTCACCAGTATCACCACCACCAGTCACCAGTATCACCACCACCAGTCACCAGTATCACCACCACCAGTCACCAGTATCACCACCACCAGTCACCAGTATCACCACCACCAGTCACCAGTATCACCACCACCAGTCAACAGTATCACCACCACCACCACCAGTCACCAGTATCACCACCACCAGTCACCAGTATCACCACCACCAGTCACCAGTATCACCACCACCAGTCACCAGTATCACCACCACCAGTCACCAGTATCACCACCACCAGTCACCAGTATCACCACCACCAGTCACCAGTATCACCACCACCAGTCACCAGTATCACCACCACCAGTCACCAGTATCACCACCACCAGTCACCAGTATCACCACCACCAGTCACCAGTATCACCACCACCAGTCACCAGTATCACCACCACCAGTCACCAGTATCACCACCACCAGTCACCAGTATCACCACCACCAGTCACCAGTATCACCACCACCAGTCACCAGTATCACCACCACCAGTCACCAGTATCACCACCACCAGTCACCAGTATCACCACCACCAGTCACCAGTATCACCACCACCAGTCAACAGTATTACCATCACCAGTCACCAGTCACCAGTATCACCATCACCAGTCACCAGTATCACCACCACCAGTCAACAGTATCACCACCACCAGTCACCAGTATTACCATCACCATCACCAGTCACCAGCATCACCACCACCAGTCAACAGTATCACCATCACCACCACCAGTCACCAGTATTACCATCACCAGTCACCAGTATTACCATCACCATCACCAGTCACCAGCATCACCACCACCAGTCAACAGTATCACCATCACCACCACTAGTCACCAGTATTACCATCACCACCACCAGTCACCAGTATTACCATCACCAGTCACCAGCATCACCACCACCAGTCAACAGTATCACCACCACCACCACCAGTCACCAGTATCACCATCACCACCACCAGTCACCAGTATTACCATCACCAGTCACCAGTATCACCATCACCACCACCAGTCACCAGTATTACCATCACCATCACCAGTCACCAGCATCACCACCACCAGTCACCAGTATCACCATCACCACCACCAGTCACCAGTATTACCATCACCATCACCAGTCACCAGCATCACCACAACCATCACCAGTCACCAGTATCACCATCACCACCACAATCACCACCATCACCAACATTCCCACCAACGCCACTGCCTAACTAACGGAGATGAGAAATAACAAATGAGAGCACTAGAAGTGCTGTTGTTACGGAAACTGTGGCTAATGAGACTCATGCAATACATGAAAGACAAGCACCTGATGCTTGCGCAACACCTTCCATCACAGGAAACGCAACACGTTCAATACAAGGTCTCCCACTGCCCGAGGCACCGAAAATTAGGTCAGTGTTATCTTATGTCAACATTGATTCCTTACTTTAATTGTCCCAACCACTTGGGCTGGACGGTGGAGCGACGGTCTGGCTTTATGTAGGTCGGCGTTCAATCCCCCGACCGTCCACAAGTGGTTGGGCACCATTCCTTTCCCCGTCCCATCCCAAATCCTTATCCTGACCCCTTCCAAGTGCTATATAGTCGTAATGACTTGGCGCGTTCTCCTGATAATACCCTTCCCTTCTTTAATCGTTATCATACAAATATTGTCTTTCTATATATATATTATATATATAATGTCGTCCCCAATGGCCCGAACACACTACTTGGCCTAGTATGCAAGGCCAAATTTGCCTAACAGGCAGAGATATTTTCGTTATTTAACAAAATTTCCAATTGGTTTATTTGAATTAATATTTTTATCAAGAACATGAATTATTGACAAGTTAGATTTGATCAAAATTCTATATTTTAACTCAAATTAAACAATATTAATATCATGAATAACGAAGTGTTATTATTACATAATAAAATAATATATGAAAAATGAATAATTTCGGGAAACTATGCTTGTTAGGCAACTTGGCCTATTAGGTACAATATATCATAATGACACCACAATAGCGTGATGTATCAATGAAAATCCATTCAGCCATCGTGGCCGAGTCAATTAAGGCAGATGTCTTAAAGCCCAGTCAATTTAATGGCCAAAATGCTGGTTAGGCTCCAGTTCTGGGGCTCCAGGACCAGCCTAGCGAGGCGGACACTGGCGAGTCGAAGTGTCCTCAACTCCCAGAAGGAAGATGGCGCGCCTGGCTGACACGCTGACCCTCCAGCACTGACTATGGCGCTGGTCCCCAGCTTCGCTGACTAAACTCACTCCCCCAGCGGGCTGAACATGCTCCAGTAACGTTAAATCGACAAAGAATCAATGTTCTATCGACGAGGTTTGCCAAGCTTTGCCCGCGAGGAGGAGAACCTTCCACCAGGGTGACGGGACCTTCGCCAAGCCGCGAAGTCCCGATGGAAGCCGTCAACCGCGTCAAGTAGTTAACATCGGTAATTTAGCGCCCGTTCAAACGTTAACAACTGTACTGTTAAGGAGTAGGAACCCCAGATGATCAAAATATCGATTCATGTGGTATGAACTGGAGAGTAAGGTAATTATAGGTAGTAAGGTTGGTAGTACTTGGTCTTTAGAAAGTATCAAGTCATTACGTCTATATAATCAATAATTGCTGCCACACCACTTGGATGGCAGGGGTTTAAACACCAGGCACCAACGCCAGTGTTGACTACAGGACAGGAGCTGGAGCCCAGGAGCTGGAGCCCAGGAGCTGGAGTCCAGAGCGAGGGGTTGT